AGTGAGAGTTTGACTTCTTCTTTGCCAATTTGGATGCCTTTTATTTCTTTTTGTTGTCTGATTGCTGTGGCTAAGACTTCTAATACTATATTGAATAGCAGTGGTGATAGTGGACATCCCTGCCGTGTTCCTGACCTTAGGGGAAAGCTCTCAGTTTTTCCCCATTGAGAATGATATTCACTGTGGGTTTTTCATAGATGGCTTTTATGATATTGAGGTATGTACCCTCTATCCCTATACTCTGAAGAGTTTTGATCAAGAAAGGATGCTGTACTTTGTCAAATGCTTTTTCTGCATCTTTTGAGAGGATCATTTGGTTCTCGTTCTTTCTTTTATTAATGTATTGTATCACATTGATTGATTTGCAGATGTTGAACCAACCTTGCAGCCCAGGGATAAATCCCACTTGGTCGTGGTGAATAATCCTTTTAATGTACTGTTGGATCCTATTGGCTAGTATTTTGGTGAGAATTTTTGCATCCATGTTCATCAGGGATATTGATCGGTAGTTCTCCGTTTTGATGGGGTCTTTGGTTTTGGGATCAAGGTAATGGTGGCCTCCTAAAACGAGTTTGGAAGTTTTCCTTCCATTTCTATTTTTTGGAACAGTTTCAGAAGAATAGGTATTAATTCTTCTTGAAATGTTTGGTAGAATTCCCCTGGGAAGCCATCTGGCTCTGGGCTCTTGTTTGTTGGGAGATTTTTGATGACTACTTCAATTTCCTTAGTGGTTATGGGTCTGTTCAGGTTTTCTATTTCTTCCTGGTTCAGTTTTGGTAGTTGATACAGCTCTAGGAATGCATCCATTTCTTCCAGGTTATCTAATTTGCTGGCATAGAGTTGCTCCTAATATGTTCTTATAATTGTTTGTATTTCTTTGGTTGGTTGTGATCTCTCCTCTTTAACTCATGATTTTATTTATTTGGGTCATTTCTCTTTTCTTTTTGATAAGTCTGGCCAGGGGCTTATCAATCTTGTTAATTCCTTCAAAGAACAAGCTCCTAGTTTTGTTGATCTGTTCTACTCTTCTTTTGGTTTCTATTTCATTGATTTCTCCTCTGATCTTTATTATTTCTCTTCTCCTGCGGGTTTAGGCTTTATTTGCTCTTCTTTCTCCAGCTCCTTTAGGTGTGGGGTTAGGTTGTGTATTTGAGAACTTTCTTGTTTCTTGAGAAAGGCTTGTATTGCTATATACTTACCTCTTAGGACTGCCTTTGCTGCATCCCAAAGATTTTGAACAGTTGTGTTTTCATTTTCATTAGTTTCCATGAATTTTTTAAATTCTTCTTTAATTTCCTGGTTGACCCATTCATTCTTTAGTAGGATGCTCTTTGGCCTCCATGTATTTGAGTTCTTTCCGACTTTCCTCTTGTGATTGAGTTCTAGTTTCAAAGCATTGTGGTCTGAAAATAGGCAGGGAATGATCCCAATCTTTTGGTACTGGTTGAGACCTGATTTGTGACCTAGGATGTGGTCTATTCTGGAGACTGTTCCATGGATACTAGAGAAGAATGTGTATTCTGTTGTTTTGGGATGGAATGTTCTGAATATATCTGTGAAGTCCATTTGGTCCAGTGTGTCATTTAAAGTCTTTATTTCCTTGCTGATCTTTTGCTTAGATGATCTGTCCATTTCAGTGAGGGGGATGTTAAAGTCCCCCACTATTATTGTATTGTTGTCAATGTGTTTCTTTGCTTTTGTTATTAATGGCTTATATAATTGGCTGCTCCCATGTTAGGGGCATAGATATTTGCAATTGTTAGATCTTCTTGTTGGATAGACCCTTTAAGTAGGATATAGTGTCCTTCCTCATCTCTTATTAGAGTCTTTGGTTTAAAATCTAATTTGTCTGATAGAAGGATTGCTGCCCCAGCTTTCTTTTGGTGTCCATTAGCATGGTAAATGGTTTTCCACCTCCTCACTTTCAATCTGGAGGTGTCTTTGGGTCTAAAATGAGTCTCTTGCAGACAGCATATTGACGGGTCTTGTTGCTTTATCCAATCTGATAGCCTGTGTCTTTTGATTGGGGCATTTAGCCCATTTACATTCAGGGTAACTATTGAAAGATATGAATTTAGTGCCATTGTATTGCCTGTAAGATGACTGTTACTGTGTATTGTCTGTGTTCCTTTCTGGTCTATGTTACTTTCAGGCTCTCTCTTTGTTTAGAGGACCCCTTTCAATATTTCTTGTAGGGCTGGTTTCGTGTTTGCAAATTCCTTTAGTTTTTGATTGTCCTGGAATCTTTTTATCTCTCCTTCTATTTTCAATGGCAGTCTAGCTGGATATAGTATTCTTGGCTGCATATTTTTCTCATTTAGTGCTCTGAATATATCATGCCAGTCCTTTCTGGCTTGCCAGGTCTCTGTGGATAGGTCTGTTGCCAATCTAATGTTTCTACCATTGTAGGTTACCGATCTCTTGTCCTGAGGTGCTTTCGGGGTTTTCTCTTTGTCTCTGAGACTTGTAAGTTTTACTATTAGATGACAGGGTGTTGACCTATTTTTATTGATTTTGAGGGGGTTCTCTGTGCCTCCTGGATTTGGTGCCTATTTCCTTCCCCAAATTAGGGAAGTTCTCTGCTATAATTTGCTCCAATATACCTTCTGCCCCTCTCTCTCTTTCTTCTTCTTCTCAGATCCCAATTATTCTAATATTGTTTTGTTTTATGGTATCACTTATCCCTTGAATTCTGCCTTCGTGATTCAGTAGTTGTTTATCTCTTTTTCTCAGCTTCTTTATTTTCCATCATTTGGTCTTCTATATCACTGATTCTCTCTTCTGCCTCATTTATCCTCACAGTTACAGCCTCCATTTTTGATTGCACCTCATTAATAGCCTTTTTGATTTCAACTTGGTTAGATTTTAGTTCTTTTATTTCTCCAGAAAGTGTTTCTCTAATATTTTCCATGCTTTTTTCAAGCCCAGCTAGTATCTTTATAATCGTCATTCTGAACTCTAGTTCCGACATCTTACTAATGTCCGTATTGATTAGGTCCCTGGCAGTTGGTACTGCATCTTGTTCTTTTTTGGGGGGTGATTTTTTCTGTCTTGTCATTTTGTCCAGATGACAAAAGATGAATAAGACAACAAAATGCTAACAGGGTAACAATGACCCCAGAAAAATATACACTAAACAAATCAGAAGAGACCTGAAACTGGGGGAAAAGAAAGGGAAAGAAAGAAAAAAGAAAAAGAAAAGAAAAAGAAAAGGATTAAAAAAAAAAAGAATATGATCAAATATGATCAGGCTGGTGCATAGATCAGTGCCACACACTAGATTTTGGGTGTATTTTGGTCTGTTAGAAGAAAGTGCCTCCCAAAATTTTAAAGAAAGAAAAGCTTATATATGTACAAAAATAAGGGTAAATACGATGAAGGGATGGAATATGACTGTAAAGATGAAAATTATAAAAGATTTTATAAAAGGAATTGATAAGAAGTTGGTTGAAAAAAGAGAGAAGAGGAATTAAAAAAAAAAATAGGGGAGAGAATGTGATCAGGCAGGAGACTAGAACAAAGCCATACACTAGAGATTTAGAGACTAGTCTGTTAGAAAAAACTGTATCCCAAAATTTTAAAGAGAGAATAACATATATATATACAAAAAATAAGGTTAACTACAATGAAGGGATAGAACAGGACTCTAAAAATGAAAAATAAAAAAGATTTTTAAAAAGGGGATTGATAAGATGTTCGTTGAAAAAGGGAAAAAGAAAAATTCAAAAAAAATAGAAAAAGAAAATTAAAAAAATTAACTTTGAAAAACTAAAGAATCATGGGGAAAAGGCATGAATTCTATGTGCAGTATTCCCCTAGTGCTGGAGTTCTGCCGTTCTCATTGATCAGTAAACTTGGTCTTGGCTGGCTGTTCTTGCTGATCTTCTGGGGGAGGGCCCTGTTGCCGTGGTTCCCAAATGTCTTTGCCGGAGGCGGAATTGCACTGCCCTTGCTGGGGGCCAGGCTAAGTAATCTGCTCGGATTTGCTCTCGGTAGCTTTTGTTCCCTGCAAGCTTTCCCTACAGCTTTGGAGTTGGAGAGTGAAAACAGCGGCCTCACAATCTCTGCCCTGGAGGAGCCAAGAACTCAGGGCTCTGCTCCTCAGTGCACCCCCAGGGACCAGCAGTCAATCACTCCCGTCTCCCTGGTCTCCGGCCGCACTCCATGCTCCCTGGGCCTGTGACTGAGCATTTCTATTTCTGGCACCTGACCCGGTGTGGAGTCTCCAAACCCAGCAGATCCCTGCCGGTGCACTCCCATGCCGCTCCTCCCCGGGGAGGAAGGGGAGTCTCCCCAGATCTGCCGCTTGTTGGGTCCATGATGGAGGATCAGTGGCCCGACTGTGCCGCGGATCACGGTTTATGGCAACCCCGAGCTGAGAGTCCGCTCCTCGGCTCCGTCTCTGCAGCCGGCTTCCCTGCTCGGATCCCTGGGAGCTCTGCCGCACTCAGGCACCCCCAGTCTTTCTGTGACCCTGAGGGTCCTGAGACCACACTGTCCTAGCGAGGGTTCCACCCCCTGCTTAGCCACTGGAGCGATGTCCCTCAGCAGAGCAGATTTCTAAAAGTTCCAATTTTGTGCTCTGCGGCTCTATCACTTGCCAGTGTTGGCTGACGGAGGCCCCTCCCCCACTGTCTATCTTCCCAAATATCACCTCAGATTCACTTCTCCGCACATCCTACCTTCCAGAAAGTGGTCGCTTTTCTATTCAGAGTTGTTGCTATTCTTTTCTTCGATCTCCTGTTGAGTTCGTAGGTGTTCAGAATGGTTTGATCCCTATCTAGCTGAATTCCTGGGACCAGAGGAAATTTAGGTCTCCTACTCCTCCACCATCTTACTCCTCTAAAGTCCTCATCGAGGTTTTCTTATCTAGCTTTGGTTCCTCATTTCAAAGCAATTTTCCTACTCTTAGGATGTCACTGAATCTCCTCTAGAATTGGAGCATTCATAAATTTTGGAAAAGCTCTGTAACCATTAATGGAAGTTCTTCTCCATTCCAGGTGATGCAACGGTGACCATAGCTCACAGATATACTCCCAAGGAACAACTGAAGATCCATACTCAGCTGGCAGATGTTATCATAGTAGCTGCCGGTAAGTCTTTAGTGGCTGTTATTTGGTGGAGTATCATCAGCGGAGTAATTCCTGCCCCAGTTGCTGACATGTCTATAAAGGCAGCTGCTTGGGTGAGTTAGGTATACCTACGACTCACTTCCATCGGCTGGATCCTGTCTCTTGTCAGTTATTATATTGGCTCGTTGTGCCTACGTCAACATTTGTCACTTCATTATGGAAAACCCAAACAGCCTTTGGAATGACAGATGAAGCACAGGAATGAACACGTACATTGCCACCTCCTTCACAGACACGATTGATTCGAAACATGAACGAGTTATGGGGAGACGGGTAGGAAATGCTCTTTAAGAGATAGGCAGGGCTAGCTCATGGAGGAGCTTGGGAAGTGTGGACTCCAGAGCGGCAAGAGGAGGAACAGAGAAGAGATACTGTGTTTTCATTTATGGGATCTAGGATTTTTCCTAATTTGTTTTATATTCGAACATACAAAATAATTCTACCCTTTACTTCTACCTCTCCACTTGCCACATAGTGTTTCTACATTGCAGACAATTGTGACTCTTCTTGCTTTAGCCAAGGCTTGAATGAGAGCCTTTTTCATTTTGTTTTTCAATTAGATGTTATTGGTAATTTCTAGACTTTACATTTGAATTGCTGGGTGGTTACAAAGTGTAAAAGGAAGAGTAGAAGTTCCAGAAGAAATGGAGTTTGATGAAGAGAATAATGATCGTTTAAATTATTTTCAACCAAATTTAGTTTACTTTCTTATTCTGATATAGGCCCTTCTCTGGAACTGAGGATATATATGTGAAGACTCCAGGTAGAGTAATTTGCCTCCTGATAGAGTAAATGCTCCCTTTTCTGGAAGTCCCCAGTAAGTTGGTACAGCTAACCACATTTCTGGTTTTTCTGAGAAATTATATTCAGATGATATTAAATGCAAATTTTTGAATGGGATTGACAGAAGGAGACAGACGTTTAGAGAAGCAATAAACTTTTTCAGACCAAAATAGGAGCCAGGAGGTATTCGGGCCAGTACTGTCTAGCCGCCATCCCAGTCAGGGCATCCTGTGACCACCAGAGGGCGCCAGGCAGGTGGCAGCTATGGTAGACAGCCACACTCCGTCCACACTCCCACACTCCATCCCCGTCCTGGCTGGAGGACATTTTGAATGACAGTAGTATGAATGGGCCTTGTATTCCAGCCCTAATGCCTGTAACTAGACACAAAGGTATGCTGAATGCTGGAAGATAGCCTTGTAGATAACCCTGCAGTCGTCCTGAAGAAATAGATAAATATTTGGATAATGGGAAATTTGGGGGAAGAAGATTGAGAATTTATAAGAAATAACTAAAGATTGCCCATTTGCATGTCCTTACTAATCACCTGGAGAATTTAAGGATAAAATATGTCGATATCGGTAAGTTACAGTGAAATTAAATGGACAAATTAACATAAAAAAGAAATTCCATATCACCAGACAATAGGACTGAAATCTTACTAAAATGAACCACATCATGCATTCTGTGTGGGAAATAAACAAATACAGTTAGCAGTGGGTATTAAAGAAGGAGATAGTGATCTAATGGCAGAGGTAGCTGGAACAGGGAGGGCTGGCTCGTTGGCATAACTAGAATGTCAGCGTATATGGAAGCAGTCCCATCGAGGAGTCAGGAAGAGTAGAAGGAGGAGTGGTGCATGATGTATCTGAAAGATCGATAATGCCTTTTGATAATGTCTGAGGGATGACAGTGAAGAATATAGTGATGAAATCTCAGAATGGGCTTGCAGAAGAAAAAAGTAAAAAAGGAAATCATTGTGTAAAGGTCCTGAGGCATGAATAAAATTAGCTTATGTTAATATTCATCTCACCCCTCCAGTTTCTCAAATTCCCATGGTCCCATCCTTATAGGTTTAACTATGTATCGCTGCACATTCAAGATTTAGATTAATTTAGAAGCTCAAATACGAAAGTAAGATCCTGTCAAACTACGCATTTAGAAATAAGAAATTCAAGTTTCTCCTCAAAACTACTCTCTGAGTTCACAGAGAATGAAGCTGTTTCTGGGGCGCTTTACTGGACTGTGGTTAAGGCCCTAAACATCTGTTTATGGCTGTCCATCACCTTCACTAGCCGGTAGCAGGAACAGGACGGGTATTTTTTTTTTTTTTTTAATGTATGTAAGTGCTTCCAACAATATCTGACACATAGTGAGTATTCAATTAATGTGTGTTGTATTCATTTTGAAATTACAACTGGGGCAAGGACAATCACATTGATACAAATTTAGCTGATGAATTTTTAAGCATATAATTTTATTAAGGTGGAACCATTCTTGTTATTGGTTGACATAACGGTAGCATTATTTTTATAACTACTAAACATTCCTAGCATGTCACTGTAAAGTAAGTTGAAAAAGTCATAAAGGTGAAAGATTTGTTCATACGAGAGCAGTTTGTATCATTAAGTGGATTATTGAACTGATATGATTTGAAATAATAAGGTTAAGAAATTCTGAGCAGGGTGATGAAAGAGACTGTTATAGACATCTAAAATACAGTAAGAATATTAAACAGTTGAATTGAAAGTAGTTTCAGGGAAGACTGCACTGGCTTTGTGTGAGGCTAGTGATAAAGAAGGGAAAGCTAGGGGCGCCTAGGGGCTCAGTCAGTTGGGTGTCTGCCTTCAGCTCAGGTCATGATCCCGGGGTCCTGGGATCGAGCCCCACGTCGGGCTCCCTGCTCAGCGGGGAGCCTGCTTCTCCCCCTGCTTGTGCTCTCTCTCTCTCTCTCTCTCCCTCACAAATAAATAAATAAAATATTTAAAGAAAAAAAAAAAAAAAAGAAGAGAAAGCTAGCCAGAACAGGGCACCAATGCTAAGAGTGTATTAGAAGACTCTTTGATTGACTTCTATCAAATGTTTCCGGGACACTGGGGGAAATCCTAAGTCTGTAAAAGTTCTAGGAATCTTCATTATTCAAGCAGGATAGGCAGGTTTTTTCCAGACACTGTCTGAAAGACCCTCCACCAATATGAGTAAACTGTGGAACTAGCTTCCTTCAGAAGATGAGCTGCTGAGTCAATGCCACTTGCATATTAACCTGTGGGTATAGAGTGTCATAGGTGGTGGAAAGCTGCCATTTTGTCCACTAAGCCATCCCCTGCAGCAGGATGAATGGACCTTTACAGTCGCAACTCCAGCGTCTCTGTTGCAACACTTTTAATGATAGTCACTGTAATATAAAACAGGATAAATAGGTAATTCAGTAGAGTAATTTGGAGTATTCATACTTACTCGTCATAAAATAAAGGTGACCAACCAACTTCTTTTCACTACCTCTCCCATCATATCATCAAGTTTTGGATACACTCCCATCAAACATCATCTTAGGTTCTCAATAGAGTTTTCCTTCTGGTGGATTTCCTCTTCCTCGGAGCGAAATGCCAGGACACTGAGAAATTCCCAGGGGTGGGGCCTGGAAATCGTCGGCTCCACCGTCCACAGCTCACGCAACCTGGGAGTGGAACTTGCTCCCTTACAGCCCTGGGTGCTCTCTGAGTGGATGCCAGCACATTTCATAGTTTCACTAATGCTGTTGTTCTTTGCATATCCTATTTCTTATTTTTCATCTTGTCTCTTTGGCCTCTGTTGCTCCACCTAGAAGTCCTTCCTGCCTTCCTAAACGTGTCATTTGTCTCAATTTTATCAGTTATTTTATAGAGTAGTGTAAATACACAGCCCTCACTAGAGCAAGAATCCCAGAATTTAAATTCTAAGTCTGCCATTCACTGATTGTGTAACTTTGGTCAAGTCATCCCATCTCTGAGCCCCAATATCTTTGATGTGAAGAACAGTAATCTCTAACATAGAATTGTTAAGCCAGCCAATCCAGGCAAAGAACAGGGCACAGTGCCTAACATATTGCAAATACTCAATAAATGTTATATGCTAATATGTAATATGTTACTCCTTCTTAGGCCTTCTTAGAATTGCAGGTGAATTCAAACAAAAATTTTGAAACAATAAATCAGTTGATAACTAACCTAAATCTTCGATGTAACTAAAGGAATATACTTTTGGTCACTTTTGATATTAATATATTATCAAAGTTGACTGGTCATCATAAATGTAAACAAACAAACAAATAAATAAATAGATAAAAGAAGTGACTTACAGATAAGAGACCAACTTCATAAAAGCTTTATTTTTACTTAAGATTTGTGGTTTCTCAGCATGACACCCACTTTTGTTCATAGCTGTGTATTCTGTTGTCCCAGGATGAGTCCCTCATTGCCACTCTCTCTTTTGAAACAGTCGGACTTTGTGAGGGGTGAGGGAGGGGAGAGGTACTTAGGTGAAGGGGTTTGTTCTCACAGACCTTTTCCCACCCTCTCAGTCTCCCTCTTCCTCTCTCTACCTTTTCCCCCTCCCCCACTGTAGCCCCCACAGTCCATCCCCAGAGCCTCCCTGATCCACAACAAATAAGCTTCATCAGTGTATGAGAGGGTGCTTAACTATTGATTATTTTCCTGACTATTGGTTATTTTCTACATCCCTACCATAAAAACCTAGCAAACATGCACAATAATCCAACCAAAGCCAACCACAGTTAACAGTTTGATGTTGGGCCTTCCACTATTTTATATTTACATGTAAATATACATATATACACATTTCTTTTCACCCTGCGCGGACTACCTGTGTTTCCTGGCTCCACACTGCTGTACGTTTCCTCATAAAACGCGTTCTTCTAAAGTGTGGTCTCTACTGACTTCGTAGTAGTCTACGCTGTAGGTATAATTTATTTATTCAGTTCTTGATGGTTGGACATTTAGGTTGTTCCCAGGTTTTTACTGTTATAAACATTGCAGTAAACAACTGTGGACATCTTTGTAAACACCCATGATTATTTGCACAAGGAACCTATACTATTTATTAGATTGGTCTTTAGTTCTTTATTTGCTAATGAATGGTTACTTGTATTCTCAAAAACAAAACTAATATTTAAAGCTTTG